CCGGTATTAGTAAGTATTTTTTAGTTTAAGATTGACTGTGATACGATTTAGATAGTAAATATTGTTAAGGATTGTAAAGAGTTTAGTTGTTTCAGTTGATTAGTGAAGTAATGAGTATTAGAGTGTATAGTAATTGGAATAAATTATTGCTGTGTTGACTGGACTTTGATTTTGGACTAAACGGACCCAAGATTTCTGTCACGCACCCGAGAGTCGTGACAATACTTTATTCTAACTCGCTTTGTTGGGAACTTCCTTCTGATTCTTTAGAGCTTACTTTAACGTTATAAGGTTTGATTTTATCCAAGGATACTACTCCTTTATATTTCTTCTGTGATCGGACAGATTCCTTTATATCAGTGGTTCCCAACCTTGAGATTAGCGGCGCGGACCAATTTTACCAAATCAGGATTTGCGCGGACCACCAGCGGCGTTTCAGACTGGAACTTTGGGGAAAGGGAGGGCGCCGAAGTTAGACTTGTTTTTCTGTTGCCACGCCATCACCAAAATAGTTATTTACATTCCAAGCTGCGAAAGCGTACTTTTAGGTGCGAGGTGTATTCAAATAGCCGAGGCGAAGCGAAGCGATGCCGAGGCTATTTGAAATCCTCCGAGCACCTAAAAGGGCTTTTTCATTCTCCCCCTGCGAAAGTAGACACCTCGCACCTAAATGTGCGCTTTCGCAGCTTGGAATGTAAATAACTATTACAGCGTGTGATGTATTAAACTTTTCATTCCTCCCCTTTAAACATCGTGAATAGGCATGCGAAAGTGAAACATGCTAGTACCGAAAGTGAAACTAGGTAATTACTAGCATGTTTCACGTTTCACTTCCGCTTTCGCTCGCCTACGCAAGATAAAAAAATCTACTTTCGTAGGGGGGAGAATGAAAACGTCCATTTTGACTATTTTGAGCCTCAAAACAGTTCATTGAAGCGCAGTGTTCATTTCTATTCTATTTTGTCAGAGCTTACTGGATTATGATGATTATGAATATTCTTATACGAGTGATATCGAGCGAATTTGTGACGTCATTAATTACTATTTTTGAAAACAATTCTAGAGAATAATCTAAAGCACCAATAATTTCAAAGATACTTAAAATACGAATAATATATTTAAGCTTGATTGAAAAAAAAAAATATATATTTTAAAAATATATATTTTCAAAACAATAATGTTTTAGAATTCGTCTTGTATCAGTTCAAGTTGTATCGCGGACCATCGGTTGGGAACCACTGCTTTATATCCTCTATCACAAATCTGTCTCTCTATCCAAGACTTCCGTGATTTCGTAAGGGCCACTGTATTCTGGCAGGAGTTTCTTACTTTGGCAGAGTTCCTGTCTGGTTTTTCGTAAGTTTTCATCATAACATGGTTCAACTACTTCGTTGGCCAGTAAAGCATTGGCAACACCCCTTGGAGTATATCCAAATAAAAGTTCGTAGGGCGACCTTTTTGTAGTTGAATTTATACTTGTATTCAAGCCCCATTTTACTTTTTGCTGTACTTGTTCATCCCATCTGTCTTCTTCATCCATACTTGCTGACAAACAAGCTGACTGTCCGTTTGGCCTTGGCGTCGGTGCATTAATGACGTGTTTGATATTCAATTTCTTACAATATTCTTCAAATTTCCTCGTCGTATAGCATGAACCACGATTCCTTATCATCCTTCATGATATACTCCGAAATTTGCTATCACCTCATCCAGAAATTTAAGAACAGGACCTACTTTGGTAGACTGTACAACTTCCATGAAAACATGCTTCAACAATAACAATGAGGTAGTTATTTTTGCGTTTGGATTTCACGAAGGGTGTGTGTAGCGTATCGAAGGGTTCTGGAATTTTTTTAAATAGGATTCAAATACCCAGGCTGCTTGCCTCCTAGTTCCTTGTTGTACAAACATTCTAAGCAGCTGGATATGTACGTTTTTGTATACCGGCGCATACCTTTTAACCAATAGTTTTTCGGAATGGCTAACAACGTTTTGTCTAAAGCCAAATGATCACTACCATCGTGAAATTGCATTATTATCTGCCTTCGAACAGTTTTCAGTCCGACTCATTTTTTTCCTTCCTCAGACTTTCGGTGAAATCGGTTATTTATTTGACAGTATTTTTCGTTCTCTTTTCTATATTCGGTGTCTTGAGGTTGCTTTTTAAGTGTATCCAACAGAAAAACGCATCTGTTGTCTTATAGTTGGTCAGTCAAAGCCCAATCCTCATATTCAATGTTTACTTCATACACAGTTACAATCGGTTATTTTCTTTGAAACTTATTCCAATCAGATAAACTCTGGAGTGTTTCAAACTCTCCACAACAGTAAGAGTCTCCAATTCGTAGGAATGGTATCGCTGCTCATCTTTCGTCGTTTGTCTGAAAAAATATATGCAAGGCAATATGGTACCATTTTGCTGCCTTTGAAAAAGAATAGTTCCGATAGCCCACTTGGAAGCATCGCAATGGATTTCTGTTGGCCATTCTGGATTGTATATTGCCAATATTGGTCTAAGCACAAGCTTTTCTTTAAGCAAGCCTGTTCGTCAGACCAATTAAATTATGTGCCCTTTTTTGTTAAGGATGTAAGAGGTCTAGCCATTGTAGCAAAATCCTGCATAAATTTTCTAAAGTAATTAGTCAATCCCAAGAACTGTCTTACTGTGTGAACGTGAGCATCGGAAATTTTGAAACAGCTCCTGTTCTCCTTTTCTCAGGTTGTACGCCATCTTTGCTAATTTCATTTTCAAGAAGTTCAACTTTTGGAAAGAAAAAGTTTAATTTTGATAGCCTCAAGGTTAAACCGTCATTTTTCAATGCCTTCGGCACTTTTTCAAGATTTTGTGTAGCTTCCTGGAAGTTTTTACCAGGCAGAAGGATATCATCCATATATACCAACGCTTTTCTATACCTCATGTTACTCAGCACCTTGTTGATCGTTCTTTGGAATACTGCTGGTCCATTAGCTGCACCAAATGGCATCCGAACTTATTCGAAATGTCCATCAGGAGTCACAAATATCCTGTATCCATCTCGATTTAGTCGATTTGGTTGTAACCACTTGCTAAATCGAGGTTAGTAAAGTAACAGCAGTCTTTGAGCTTTTCCAAAAAGTCATCAACACGAGGCTTTGATAGTTTTTGAGTTTAAAAAAAATTCGTGATTGAAAGACATCAGTTCTGTCCGTTGATAATGCATTCGTCTATGAAGTATGGAACGTACGCCTCTAGAGACGTATACTTCACCTGAATTTAGACCACGTGACGTAACTTCAACAAAAGCCACTGTGCTTGGTGGTATTATCACGTCTTCTTTTGCCCGAATTGACGTTTTTCCAACTGGAATTTCCAGAACTTCATGTAAGTCCGATGATTTTGGGAGAATTCTGGCAGATTTACCAAAAACTATAACCAAAACTTGTGGTTGATTTAAAATGCTTTGGCAAACCATAAGTGGAATTCTTTGGACGCAGTTTCGACGAACACGTCAGTACCCTTTAACACCACCTAATTTATCTCTGTGATGTCGAATAGTGTCGACTGTCGAGTCATCACCGACGTAACCATCGTAATTCCTCCCTCAAGAAAGACAATGGGGACTCGTCAACAATACGTTTTTAAGTACCTATTCAATATCTTTAGAGTTTATAAAATCTTTGTAGGTGGATTCTTCTCTCTTAAATCAGTAGCGTCTTCGTTCTAAGATCTTGAAAAATAAGCCCCTTCAAATTTTTCAAGATCTTTGAAGCCTTTAGAGTTTTCAAAAGCTTCATGGAATATCAAGCTTCTCTAAGTTTTTTCAATTCTTTAATATCTTCAATGCAACATCTCGAAACATATGAGTCATGAGTCTTTTTTTGAAGTTTTTAGAATTTTCAAAAACTTTAAATTAAGAGCCTGCAGAATCTCAAAAGTTTTCAATCTTCTTTGTTGTCTGTCTTTAGAGACTTAAGTCTTAATATGGCTCATGAATTAAACTACTTCAAGTTCAAGATCATTGGAATTACTCTGCATGGTATGGTATCCTGCTTGTTGAAACATGTAAATGAGAATGGCTACCGCATCATTCTTTCTGGTGCCTGACATATCGGTATCAAATTCATTGCAACGAGTTGCTAAATACATTTTGGTTGTCCCTGACCAGATCACACAGCACGTTATTATTACAGGGTACTTAACAATCAAACAAATCACAGTTTTACACACTGAGAATATATTGCCAAATGCCGATATTAATAATTTTATTATACTAACAAGACTGCTTCTGTCGGATGTTTAAAATAGAACATCCTGTAAATTTCAGGGTTTTATAGATGTGACCTATTTTCCGACAAATATTTCAAACTGGAGCTATATTGGAATCCAGGTGTTTCACAAATTACAAACAAAAAAAAAATTTCCATATGTAATAAGGTACATAGAAGATTTTCAACGAGGGAAGGGAATGGGTATTCTTGGATACATGATTGTTGCAAATTTTTCGACTAATTAAGGTCTAGAGTCTTTCCAAGAGTTCCAAGACGACAAAGCCCCAGAAGGAAATTCTGTCATAGAATAAAGAATAAGCTATACAATAAAAAAAGTGACCAAAACATTTTTATTTCTTACTATAAAACAACAACAATTATGTAGGTGTACCTACCTATCGGCTATACGTTCACCTACTTGAAATTGTTCAACATAAAAATACGGCATGATAGGTAATTATTTATAGAAAAAAAGCACTTTTGCTTACTGATGCATACAAGGTATTTACTAGGAAATAAAAGCCAATGACGTCCTCTAAAAAATTTTCAGAATCCAAATAGAAGAATAACTTACTAATTCAGTGATTAAGTTTTGTTAAAAACTTAAGGCAATAATTCAATTCCTTCTATGGAATTATTGTGTTTGAAAGGAATTCCTAATAACTTCAAACTTTTTTTTAAATCCAGCTGATGTATAACTAACAACATAAGTATCTGGATTGATGAAAATTAATAATTCGCTTTGTTTTCAGCAATTTCTTAGTCCTTACCTACAATCAAACAGAACAGGACTCTACGGCAGGCCCAACAGTAGGTTAGCAGCAAGACAAAGACCTACAGGCGGATCGTATAGGAGTGGAGAATACGGAAGAGTCGATTCGCAGGAATACAATTCGAGGGTAGATGTGTATGATAAAGATAATGAAGACAATGACGAAGCCGATTCTGACAGGTAAGCTATCAATTCTTCAACCTTCAACTAAGCACAATTTCAAAACACTATTGACTTTAAGAGGAGACCAAGATCTCTTTGGCGAAAACACCAAGTCCCCCTACGACGCCAACGACAACTACGAATCCAGAGTAGACGCGTCGTATGAAACCAGACTTAATGGTGTTGAATCCGAAAGCAGATCTCCAGTAGGTTATGGAGGTTCTTCAGGTGGTTACCAAAGAGGTTATGACGCATCAAGATCAGCCAGCGGAGCTTATGACGCATCAAGATCTGCAGCAGGAGGCTACGACGCATCAAGATCAGCAGCCGGAGGCTACGACGCATCAAGATCCGGAAGCTACGGTTCAGCAGTAACAGGAGGCTATGACGCATCCAGAGCTGGTAGCTATGACACCCGTTATGCTGCTTCAGGCTCCGCTAGTGGCTCACTAGATGCCAGATATGACGCTGCCAGAAGCGGACTAGCTGTTTCAGGTGCTGGACAATCGTCTGCTAGCAGGTTAGTATCGACCGCTAAACTTTTGTGCAAATATATTTTTTCTATTTCAATCAAGGGGTTCATATGGTGCCTATGCTAGCAGCCCTTACGAAAGCAGACGGCCCTATGCCAGCAATTATGACATAATTGATGCACCAGGAAGCGCTGTTGGTCCAAGAAACGGATCGGAAAGGTGTATTCCAAAATGCTTTGCTGAGAAAGGAAATAGAGTACGCACGATTGATTTAAAAAGCTTCCAAAATTTGCTATACAAATTTTTTCGTAGGGTTATCCAGGTTTGCCAGGCCACAACGGTGACAAAGGTATCAGAGGTTTCCCCGGTGACGAAGGTATTCCAGGAGAAAAAGGCGACATGGGCGTGACGGGCCCTCCAGGCCCCAGAGGTCCGAAAGGTGACCGAGGCAAAACCGGACTGCCCGGATTCCCTGGGGTGAACGGAGTGCCTGGCCTACCGGGTCCCGAAGGTCTTTCCGGACCTCCAGGTTTGGACGGTTGCAACGGAACAGATGGATTTCCCGGTCAAGCAGGTTTCCCTGGAGACGTAGGACCCAGAGGTTTTCCCGGTCAATCGGGTATCAAAGGAGAGAAAGGAGAAGCCGCGCATTGTGAAATCAATTTGAAAGGACAAAAAGGTGAACCCGGTAGAGATGGTGTAACTGGACCACCTGGAAACCCTGGTCCACAAGGGCTTCGTGGATTACCTGGCCCGTCTGGAGAACTTGGACAAAGAGTAAGTTATACACAAAGTTTGCTGCTTATTCAATAAATATATATTATAGGGTTTTTCTGGACCGCCTGGACCTAAAGGTCAAAAAGGTCTCATGGGCGTTGGCTACTACGGAGAAAAAGGTGACAAAGGTGACACTGGTCCAGCAGGACAAAAAGGCGACTCTGTAGCACCTTACATCAACAACGGAACAGTGACAATTGGACCTCCTGGCGATAAAGGGATGAAAGGAGATCGAGGTGATTTTGGCTTTCAAGGACAAAAAGGTGAACCCGGCGCCGAAGGTGATTACGGTATTCCTGGTTCTATTGGTATGAAAGGAGAAAAAGGTTTAGTCGGACCCCCAGGACCTCCTGTAAGCAGAAACTAACCCAAACTAACCGGAAATATATTACATTGAAACTGCTTTGTAGGGTCTTCGTGGATTTGCCGGACCACCAGGCCCTCCAGGCCAGAAAGGAGATCGCGGTCTAGAAGGCCTTCCAGGTTTAGCAGGAAGGAATGGTCCAAAAGGGGAGCCAGGACGTGATGGTGCATCAGGACAAATCGGTTTGCGTGGTCCACCTGGACCCCCGGGAGGTGGCAAAGGACAACCTGGACCACCTGGACCTGCTGGTCCGAGAGGATACCCTGGTCCACAAGGGCCCAAAGGTATATTTTTTCAATATATATTTCCGTTCTAAAAGAAGCATAGCAGACAGAGTAATTGAAAGTTGACAAAAAGTCGGACTCAATTAGGATTTGAACCTAAGTTCTCCAGTCTAATGATGAATAGATGAATGGATTCCAACAACCATCGTGAATGTGAAAAACTTTAACTTTACACTAGACACTTGAAAATCTGACCAATCGGATAGAAATTAACCGTAGTCCTTGGTAGCTTAGTAGGTGTATAGTATAGAGCCTAATTAGACTGGTCGACATCTCTCAAGTTCTAGTCCTCGTGAAGCTTAATTTTTAGTCAACTTTCAATTATTATTTTGCTGCTCCGTTGCCTTGATAATAATATTTCTCACTAACGTGAAAGTAATCAACTCAATGTTCTGATTTCTTAATGCTAATTATTGTGTTTTCAGGTACTGATGGATTCCCCGGAGAACCAGGCCGTCGAGGTCCACAAGGACCGGTAGGTGGTCTGGGAGTTCCTGGCAGACCTGGACCCGAAGGACCTGCAGGAGAAAAAGGCGCCAAAGGAGAATCAGGATCAATTGGTCATCCAGGTGGCGAAGGTCCGCGTGGTTTCCCTGGCGCTCCAGGACCTCAAGGCCCGAGAGGCTTTACTGGTGACAAAGGATATTCGATAATGGGACCTAAAGGAGACGATGGGATACCCGGATTTGACGGACAAAAAGGTCTGAAAGGTGAAAAAGGTTTCGAAGGTCCACGAGGTGCCCCTGGTGACTCTTTGAATGGTATTCCCGGAGAAATGGGACTTCCTGGTACTCAAGGTGAACGAGGATTATCTGGCCGACCTGGTATGTCTGGAAGTCCAGGCATTCCCGGCGAGAAGGGTGACAAGGGTGGAACTTGCATTGACTGTTTGCCCGGCATGAAAGGAGACAAAGGAGAACGTGGTTATGATGGCCGGGATGGTGATATTGGTCCTAGAGGACCACCCGGACCTCCTGGTGCATTGGGAGCTCCCGGACAAGATGGTGTTCCTGGTATACAGGGACAACCCGGTGCCCCTGTGAGTATTATTTTAATTAATAATGTATAAATGTCTATAAAACATATTTTTTGTAGGGTAAAGATGGTATCGATGGACCCATAGGACCACCAGGAAACCCTGGTTCCCCAGCAATTATCCCAGGAAGCTTAGTTAAAGGAGAAAAGGGCGACAAAGGTTTAAGAGGTGATCTCGGAAGACCTGGTCCTCTAGGACCTCCAGGATATCCAGGACAAAAAGGAGATTTAGGTTTCCCAGGGCTTCCTGGTGAAAAGGGTGACAAGGGCATACCAGGCTTCAGAGGCATTGACGGTCGCCCAGGTGAAAACGGTTTGCCAGGCCAAAAAGGACTTAAAGGAGACAGCGTTAAAGGAGAACCCGGTCTACCAGGTTTAACTGGACAAAAAGGAGAAATTGGTGACGAAGGAGAACGTGGTCCCAGAGGTGAAGATGGACAATGTCCCGATAATATAGTAGCATTGCTTAAGGGTAAAGATGGACCGTCTGGAGATAAAGGTGAACCAGGTCCTAGAGGATATGACGGAGTACCTGGACAAAAAGGTGATCCAGGTGTCCCAGGACCCAAAGGTATTGCTGGCATCGAAGGACCCCCAGGACCCCTGGGAAGAAGAGGTTTGCCTGGCCCAAGAGGTGATAAAGGAAATGTTGGTCCAATGGGATTCCCTGGAGAACCAGGAAGAGATGGCTCTAGAGGATTGCCCGGTCTTAACGGGCCAAAAGGTACGAAAGGTGAAGCAGGTATTCCGCAAGTTGGGCCTTCTGGACCACCAGGGCCTTTGGGTATTAAAGGAGAAAAAGGATTACCAGGATTCCCTGGCAAGCCAGGACAACGCGGAAATGATGGCTTAGCAGGTTTGATGGGCGAAAAAGGAGATGTCGGTATTCCAGGCTTAACTGGACTGACAGGAGCTCCAGGACAAAAAGGTGACGCAGGTCCATTGGGACCACCTGGATTATCAGGACTGCCAGGAACATCAGGTCCTATGGGTCCCAAAGGAGAGCCAGGCTTGAAAGGAGAACAAGGCAAATCAGGACTGCCTGGATTCCCAGGACATAAAGGCGACAAAGGTGACCTTGGACGTTCAGGAGCTCCAGGTTTTAAGGGAGCGCTGGGGAAACCAGGTATTCCCGGTAGACCCGGTATGGACGGACAACCTGGCTTCAGAGGTGATAAGGGTGACAAGGGTTATCCTGGACCACCAGGCCCAGTCGGATTAATCGGTCTGCCAGGATCGATCGGTTATCCGGGAGAAAAGGGAGATTTGGGACCGCAAGGCAGACCAGGCTTACAAGGACTACCAGGTTTGGATGGGCTTAAAGGCAACGACGGTCTTCCAGGATTATCGGGCAGAAAAGGTGAACCAGGCGAAGCTTCAGAGAAAGGTCAGAAGGGTGAACCTGGCATTCCAGGTTTACGTGGAGCGGATGGCCTGCCAGGTCCGATAGGTCCTCTAGGTGAAAAAGGTAATATGGGTTTCCCAGGCCAAACAATACCCGGCTATCCAGGACAAAAGGGTGACCGCGGTGATCGTGGATTCGACGGCACACCCGGACTAGCCGGCCTGAAAGGTGATAGAGGTATTCCTGGATTGATCGGCCAAAAAGGTGACGATGGTTTGCCTGGTGCAACTGGTGCTCCTGGAATGGACGGCAAAGACGGACTACCAGGCTTAACTGGTGAAAGAGGATATCCTGGTGCCCCAGGTCTTACTGGTGAAAAGGGTGACAAAGGAGACGCAGGCTTGAACGGATACAATGGAGCACCGGGAGAAAAGGGCAACGGAGGTCCTGTTGGGCCAGTAGGTTATCCTGGAGAAAAGGGTGACTTAGGAGATAGAGGTATGCCTGGTATACCGGTATCTATTAAGGGAGACAAAGGAGAGCCTGGACCTGCAGGTTTACTCGGTAGAGAAGGTGAGAAGGGTGATAGAGGATATCCTGGACAACCTGGACTTAGAGGAGAGAAGGGAGACATTGGATTCCCGGGTGTTAAAGGAGAACAGGGCTGGGCTGGAACAGAAGGAAGAAAAGGTAAACAATAAAATTACATATTTCTTTTCTACGAGTTTGTAGTATTACTCATGTTGCTGAAGTTAGCTTCACATTTATATTTAGATTTATGTATATTAGGTACCTACCTACAGTCAACCAGATAATTATTGAAAAAAAAAATTTACTGGATTTCGGAAAGGGTAGAAATAACCCTTAAGGACATTGGAGGATAATTTCTTCAATCAAGTTAGGTCTAGGAGACTAGGACAGTCACTACGGGGTGAAATCGATAATTTGTTTGGAAATCCCCGAAAAATGAATGATGCTTTGTAAATTTTTTTTTGAATTTGAGAGGGATGGGATAGACTCAGCCCTAAAGAAGATTCGAGAATATTTTCTCCAGTCAAGTTGTGTCTGCTAGAGTCAATACCACTACAGGGGCAACAGGATGATTTGTTTGAAAATTAATGTTTTGTAGAGATTTTTTGGAATTTGAGAAGGATGGACTCAACCATCAAGTACAATCTTTCTCAAATTCCAAAAAATCCCTACAAAGCATCATTAATTTTTCACGAATTTCCCAATAGATTATCGACTTCCCTCGTAATGACTCTCCCAGTGACTTGATTGGAGACTCACTTCTCGTTTTTTTTTTCTTTTTTTCAATAATCACCTGGTCGAGTGTAATATAGATAAATCTGAATATGAATGTGAAGCTAACTTCAGCCACATGAAAACCTATACATCCTACACTTGTTTAAAAATTTCATATTCGAATTTAAATCAAAATATAATTTAGGTGATACTGGACCTTCTGGACTTCCTGGACTACCAGGACACACTATCAAAGGCGAAAAGGGTCTGCCAGGTCTTCCTGGTAAAAACGGAAGAGAAGGCGCCCCTGGACTCCAAGGAGAAAAAGGTGTAACCGGACTACCAGGACTCAGTGGACGTCCAGGACAACCAGGACCACCAGGCCCATTAGGTTTACAAGGACCTAAAGGTGATAGAGGATACGACGGCCGTCCAGGTCCTGTCGGACCATTAGGACCACCAGGCCGACCGGGATTGAACGGCTTACAAGGAGTACCCGGTGAAAAAGGTGACCGTGGACCTCCAGGTGTTCTTGGAGCTCCTGGTGAAAAGGGAGACAGAGGTCTAACCGGCTTACAAGGCGACTCTGGACTACCAGGCCAAAAGGGCGACCGTGGCCGTGATGGTTTACCTGGTATAAGAGGACCCCCAGGTCCTCAAGGTTTGAAGGGAGAACTCGGTTTAAGAGGAGTTTCTGGTGCCATAGGTCTCATAGGCCAAAAAGGAGACAAAGGAGAAGCTGGTTTCCCAGGCGCGCCAGGTGTCAAAGGAAACGCCGGACTTCCAGGAACGCCCGGACCCAAAGGCTTAGACGGACGAAACGGTTTTGATGGTCAACCAGGATTACCGGGTCCAATGGGCGAAAAAGGTGACAGAGGCTATCCAGGAGCTCCAGGAGCAACAGGAGTAGCGGGACAGAAAGGAGAAATGGGATTGGCGGGCAGAGATGGTTTGGATGGTGCTATTGGTGCTATAGGAATTCAGGGAGAACGCGGCGAACCATGTCAGGCCGTGTCTGATTATCTTACTGGTACCTTATTGGTACGTCACAGTCAAAGCCGAGAGGTACCTCAGTGTGAAAGTGGTCACACCAAGTTGTGGGATGGGTATTCTCTTTTATATGTTTCTGGTGAGTTTTTTTGGCTTGTGCTTGTTCAAGTATCAATAAACATTCGTTTTTGCAGGAAACGAAAAACCACACGCTCAAGACTTGGGTATGGCCGGTTCCTGCATCCGAAGGTTCTCGACGATGCCTTTCGTGGTCTGCGACATTGACAACGTGTGCAACTACGCCAGCAGAAACGACAAATCCTATTGGCTGTCTACTAGCGCGGCTATTCCAATGATGCCTGTACAAGAAACCGAAATCCAAGATTACATTTCCAGGTGTGTCGTCTGTGAAACTCCCGCTAATGTTTTGGCTGTTCACAGTCAGTCGTTGTCGCTACCAGAATGTCCTTATGGTTGGTCGTCGTTGTGGATTGGTTACAGTTTTGTTATGGTAAGTGATATTGAAAATTCGATGTATACTTTTCACTTATACTGCTACTAAATTATTGGATCTTCTAAGTAACTTGTAACATGAAATTTGAAGTTGTTTGCCTGTTGAAAATTTGGTATTTCTTTTCTAGCATACTGGTGCCGGTGGCCATGGAGGTGGTCAATCGCTCTCTAGTCCTGGTTCCTGCTTGGAAGATTTCCGAGCCTCGCCGTTCATCGAGTGTAACGGTGCGCAAGGACACTGTCACTACTTCTCCAACATGCTCAGTTTCTGGTTGACCACCATCGACCAAAACCAACAGTTCAGCAAACCGCAGAAGCAAACCCTGAAAGCAGGAAACGTCAGAGACCGAGTCAGCAGATGTCAAGTCTGCATCAAGAACACGTAAAATTGAATTTTTGAAACGTATAGGAAATCCAAATAATTGTTATTATTATTGAATAATTTTCCGTAAGTTGTTGTTTTGTGGGACACTTGGAACGGGCAACTTATCGATTTTTATTTTAAGCTGTGTTCAACCAATGAGTGTTCCTTTTTCTTTAATGTGCCTTAAAGTACTTGATCTTCTGCTGTGATAAAATTACTGGTAACAGACGATCAAGTACTTGATCACGTGGTCAATCAATTATTTTTATTTGTATAAAGCTTGTTTGTCAATTTATCATTTATTTTTTGACCACCGGCAGCACCATTTCAAATCGAACAAATATAATTTAAATCTAATGATAAATTGACAAACCAAAAAGATTTACGGTATACCGCTTTATTTGTAACTCTTTTTTAATACTGCCGTGCCATGTCGTTTAAAATAACAAATTTTAATTAATTATGTAAAGATTTTTGTATAGTAATTTAGGTTTAGGTTGTATGTAAGTATGTAAACTTAAGTAGGTACCAACTATTAGGGGTATAAATTAATGCCTATTTTTATATGTAATAAATAAACACAAGTTGATTTTGTGATGCTAATGTTTTAATTGCTTTTTACTGCCTTGTTTCTTTTTTTCATTATACTTTTGGTGCTATTTCTGCAGTGAGTTTTTTGTCACTTCTGTCGTTTCTCTAACATTCCTTTTTATTTCTTTATTTTGTTTTTAGTCTAGTCAACTTCTGTAACGTTTAAAGTTTTAAAATGTTTAATGGAGGAATTTCACTGCTCCAAAGTTTTTTCTTCAGATTATATTTTCGAGCACTGCCATTTGTAATATTTATAAATATATTAATATAAGACACTTATAGATGCTTTTTCTTTTGGTTACTACTATTTTCTAAAACCTTTTTTGTAATTATTATTTTGCTGTCCGTTTTATTAAAAATATTTTCAATTAGGTTTTGTGTTTTGTTTGTTTTAATATGGATGTTTGGGCTGAGAAGAATGAGGGAGTCCGTATTCTACAGACCATTGACTCTGGAAATGTTTTCAGTAATTGCTGCGATATTTCTTTCTCAGACTTTTTGATTTTTCTATACAATCGTTTACATTTTTTATGCTTATACAGGCTTAAATAACTGAATTATTTTTAAATTGATTGAGTTGATTTGAAAAACAATAGCATTTCAGGGCTTTTCTACTATTGAAATAACTTCGATTACGAAAGGTTTGTATCACTAAAAACCAACAACTCGACCACTTTTTGACTAACATATCGGAAACGCCAATAGTCACTAGTAACATAACCCAGAAATAGCCCAGATGAACAAACCAAAAATGAGATTGACTTTATAATCTCGATCCCGCCATAAACCACATAATCCAAGACGTAGATGTCGTCAATAAATTCAACACCGGCAGTGATCACAGGATGGTAAGATGCAAACTGCTCATAAACACAAAAATGGGAAAAAAAAGAAATATGAAACAAACGACGAAGAGAGAAAGTAGAGAAAAGATAGCAGAAAGAAGGGAAACATACAAACAAAGGCTGGAAGAAAACTTTACCAACAATCCAGGAAAAACAGAAGAGTCATTAGATAATAACAATAGGAGAATAACAAAAATTATAACAGAAACAGCAGAACAGATAATAGGCCCCCTAGAGAAAACGCCGCACAAACTCTCGATAGAAATGAAACAGCTACTAGAGAAAAGGATAAAACTGATAACCCAAGGTAAAAGATACACTATTGAAACAGAAACCAACAAAACAGCGAGAAAAATGGCGAAACAGGATATACTAAAACATCAAACGAAACAAGTGCAATCCCTATTACCCTATTAGAACAGAACAAAGGACTAAATATATTTGAAAGACATAACTGAGAAAGAGGTAACAAAAATAAAAAAAGCGAAAAACAACATAGTAGAAGACAGACAATATATAATAAAAGTTGTGGAATCTTTCTATAGAGATCTGTACGAATCTAAAATAGCAAACACAAGGACAAGAGAAGACAAAATACGAATAGTAAATGCAAACTCATAAGAAATGCCCGACACAAATATGGAAGAACTGGAGAAAGGGTTATCCCAGATGAAAAATGGTAAAGCGGCAGGAGAAGACAACATTCTGCCTGCAATGCTCAAGGAAAGCGATACTAAGATGAGACAAGAACTAGTGAAACTATTCAATAAGTGCCTAACAGAAGAACATATACCCAAAGATTGGGAGAATGCTGTAGTTGTTCTGATCTACAAGAAAGGTGACCTGACTGATCTCGAAAACTACCGGCCGATAAGCTTACTATCACAAATATATAAGTTATTCACCAGAATAATCACCAACAGATTAGAGCGAAAACTCGAAGTTTACCAACCAAAGGAACAGGCTGGATTCCGAAGCCATTATAGCACGACAGAACATCTACACACAGTAAGGCAGATGATCGAGAAAGCTTCAGAATATACTATAAACCTATGGATGGCTTTTGTCGATTTCCGGAAAGCCTTCGACCATAGTAGAAATCTGGGCAATAATAAAATCCTTGAGAAATGCCAGAGTGGATCAACGTTATATAAACCTCAATGAAAACATCTATAGGACTTCGACAATGTCGATAAGACTTCATGAATCATCTGACAGAATAAACACCAAAAGAGGAGTTCGGCAAGGGGACGTAATATCTCCAAAACTATTCACTTTAGTGCTCGAGAATATTTTTAAAAAGCTACAGTGGGAAAACAAAGGATTGAACATACATGGTGAACGCCTGTACAATCTAAGATTTGCCGACGATATTGTACTATTCGCAAAAGACAAACAGGAATTTATAGATATGTTGGAAGAACTACAAGATGAGGTGGCAAAAGTAGGATTACACATGAACTACACAAAGACTCAGTTTATTACAAATACACCAGATGCAGACGAAACAATACCGATCCATGACAGCACAATAAAAAAGACAGAAACATACATATTTGGCCTTGGCCAAGCTATAACACCGGGCAAACAAAATCAAGAAATGGAAATTGATAGGAGAATTAGACTGGGATAGGCGGCTTACGGCAAATTAAAGTACATCTTCAGCATGAATATTCCAATGACTTTGAAATCAAAAGTCTATAACGAGTGTATACTGCCTGTTGTCACATATGGTTGCGAGACCTGGGTGATAACCAGAAAAATTAAACACACATTGGAAGTACATCAGAGAGCCATTGAAAGACGAATTTAAGGAATTTCCCTAAACCAAAGTCTCCGACATAATAAAAAGAATTGGTTCCCTAAAATGGCAATGGGCAGGACACGTGGCCAGACATACAGAAAACTGGAGCGGGTATATCACTGGATGGAGACCTTGAGAAGAGAGGAGAAGTGTTGGAAGACCCCAACAAAGATGGTACGACGAGATAAAGAAGGTTGTAGGCTTAAATTGGTACCGAGTTGCGCAAAACCGAAGACAATGGTCAAATTTGAAAGAGGCCTATATCCGGATAGAAAACGGCTGAAAATGGAAAATGGAAATGGAACATAACCTTAAAAACAATAAAATAAGGTTTTATGAATAACTGTATGAGCGAAGGAAAGACGTTACTGACAAAAATCGTGACTTAACGAGAGATAAGTACTATGCTCTTATTCAAGACAATTAAGAAGCAAAAATCTAAAAGAAAAAGTCCCCTAAGAATGCATTGGTTCCTGAAACACTATGATGTCTTATTTGTTCAGGGTTCAGGTAGGGTTATCAACCCTTCCGATTTAGGCGGGAGACTCGAGACTCCCGCTTTGTTGGCATGCCTCCCGCCGTGAGATATCGCGGCAAAAGCTCCCGCTTTCTAAAAAAACTCCCGCTAACTCCTGCTTTTCAAAAATTTCGCATTCACTAGAGAAAGATAATAGGAATTCAATATTTAGCAAAAGAGATCTATTTTTCGCTATAGGGCATCTGCATCTTTATTTAGGGTTTGGATATAAAAAAGTGCCTACAGATATTATTTCACATCTTACACTGACAAAATTGATAAGTATTTTTGAAAACACGTTCCATCTACTATCAATTATGTATGCAAGTATGTATTATTGCATTTATTTATGATAATAAAAACCTATACTTAAATACCATTATGTTTTTTCTCATTCACCACCTAAATTATTTGAATATTAGGTTTGTTCAGACTGAGTTCAGAATCATTTCTGATTGAACTGCACTTGCGTATTTGGTCATATCGATCATATATAAATAACTGCGCAAGCGCAGTTCGATTCAGAACTGATTCTGAAATAAGTCCAAACCTATCACTAACAGTTCTGATGCTGACCATTTGACTGGCTATTTTTAACGACTGTTTCGTGCAAATTTGGGCGTGGTACCCAAAAATTCAAACCTCCCGCATTTCCATTTCAAAAACTTGGCAACCCTTAGGTTCAGGGTTTGGAGAAACTGCGCTTATTTTGGTTCAAAATACTTTGTTAATTACGGTCTAGTCCGTATATATGGGGTACCATCCCATTTACATACGGTCTGCGCCATCTAGGCTGTGAAGTTACGTGATGCGACCCAGGCCATATACATACGCTGACACGCCGGCGAATGCGCGTTAAATAAATTTATTCTCTTCGAAATAACTATCGAAGAAAAATGGTAAAAAATTTTGATGCCAATCAACAAAAAAATGGATATAGTACTTGGAAGATAATATTTTAAATTTCTCCTAGTTTTGTGATTTTATAATATAATATTATTTATATAATTTTTATCTTCATAAATACCTACAAAAGTTATAAGTATAATCAGTATAACATATTGTAATAAGTGTTAATTGTTATGGACTGATTTGTTTTAGTTTAACTACAAATGAATGTCGGGATTTCTCATTTCTCTGCATATTTCATCAACATAGGTTTTAAAAAGTTTGCCAGTAGCACCAAAGGCATTTAGATCTGGATATAAGTAGGTAGGAATTAGGTCCATTCATTTTTAATCATAAATAATAATAAATCTCAATTATAAGTTAAAATAATGCATTAGAAACAGATATGATAAACAGAGAACAAATAAAATAAAAAAGTGACGCATTTTATTTTGACCTATCATTAAAAAAAAAAAGAACACTGTACCGATTTTTGACTTTTTTCAATAGACCTATCTATTTTTACCTGGTATGCGCGCGCAACACGAGGCAATGCATTTTTATTGGCTAACTAGTACAGGTAAGAGGTGTTCGTTTTGCACGCTGGGCATCTCCTTGTCCTTGTTCATTGCCCGTGGTCTGACAAGGATCAGAATTATGGTTGATAAATAATTTGACGTAGCTTGACAAGTAATCGATTTTCAATTGTTTGTGTTTTTGATTGACAAATACGTTGCACGTCACGCGGTTTTCCACCTTCCTTTTTTATCCCGTGCAAATAATAAGAAGGGATTGCTATACATAAGTCTAACATGGTTTGGTACGTTTTGCCTCGTCTTGCGCAATAAGCGTTCTGCGTCTTTTTCTATCTAATAAAGTTTTCGTATTATTACCTCTCTGTCTGGTAAAATAGATAGGTCTATTTGTTGGTAGGTAATTAATTCAATTGTCTTTAAAAAAAAATTAAAGAGATGGAATTTTTTTCAAAGCTTCCTGGATAGTAGTGGAAAAACTGGAACCATGAAATTTTCTCAATTTTTGGCTCACCCTGTGTGTTAATCAAGTAATGGTATAAGAAGTGCTTACACCTTATATTAAAGATCCTTCTTTTACGAGAATTTTCTTTCTTTATTCATTGATTGATGACTAAAAATACCAGAATTACAACTAAAATACCTGAATTACAACTTTTTTGCTGAAATCTTGCATATTACTAACTTTCTGAATTTATCGAAAACAGTTTTCTAGTGAAATAAACTGATACAAATTTTCTCAAACATTTTTATTAAACACAAAGTTTTAAACTGGGATAACTGCT